TCTCGCACGCGAAAACGTCGCCAAACCCTCGTCGCGTGCTCGTAGTCGCTCTCGCTCGCGGTCTCGTCGGTCAGAGAGCTGTAAAAGGCCTCGCGCGGCGGAAGCTCGGTATCCCGCAGTTTATCCGCGCCGTCGACGTACTCGTACGGAAACACACCCTTGCGAGTGAGCAGATCGAAATCCTCCGCGCTCAAATCCGCGTACTCCGAACGCGTGATTCTCAGCTTGTCCCTGTTCAGATAGGACGCCAGGGTTTCGATACTCGCCGCTAAAAATTTATACAAGTCCACGAATCGAAGCTTCACGTACAAATCCCGTTTTCCGTCCGTCTGCGTCTCCTTAACGGTCTTCGAGAAAGATATGTAGCTTTCCTTCGTGAGTGGCAGCAGATCGACCCCGCCCTCGAAATCGTTTGCGATTTTCTCGACGACGAAGTGCGCGTCGTAACCCGACAAATTGTGAAAGAACACGGGAATCACGTAAACGTTTCTATAATTCAGATTGCAACGAGAATGCGCCGGACCTCTGTAACGTCCGGTTAGGTGACAGTGATCCCGCACGCGATTGTTCTCCGGTCGAAACGGTTTCTCGCACACGTGACAATGAGTCGCGAGCAGAAATTCGCTTTTCTCGTCCTCCGTGAGTTCCACCATCGCTACATTGGTGGAAAATTTATTCTTAACGTGACGCGCGAGAACGCGAAGCTCGTTCACGAACCACGAAACGCAATCCTCGCCGCGACGATATCTGTACGCGGACGCGGTATCGTCGTAGGTGCAGCACAGATAGTAGCCCACGCTGAACGGTATGTGACGCTGATAAGCGTATCTTTCCGTTCTCGAGCCCCCCTCGACGTTCTCCCTCTCCCGTCGCTCGAGAAGACACTCCAGATCCGCGTACACCACGAAGGGAAGTCGCTCCTTTCTGTCGTAATTGTCGAAAGACAGCCACTTGTCCCTCTCGTTCGGGAGAACGACGGCGCAGTCGTTTATTCGGCCGCAGTCGACGCTGTGGGCGGCCAACTTGTCGCGCGTATAGAAATAGTGTAGACATCTGCGAAAAAAATAACGTGCGAGCGATTACTGTGCGTATGTAAAAAAAAAAAATAACGCCTCGTCTTTTTCCTTATTCCCTCGTGTTTTTTTTTTCATTTCATTTCTTTTACCTACCGATCGCAAACGTGCTTCGCGCACCGTTTCGCGGTCAATTGCGAATTCACCAATCGCGACAGATTCTTTATCCAGGCGAAATGGCCCCTGTTGACGCCGCGCAGCGTATCGGGCAGATACAGCAGATTTACGTGCCTGTCCCGCTTATCGTCGGTCAACCGCAGAGGCACGATCGCGTTGTGGTCGGCGCCCCGGCCAAATTTAGCTTTCTTTTCAATTTCTTCCCGAGTTGCAAACACGTTGATCGATACGTCGTTCTGACGTTCGAATTTTCCGATCTTTTTCAGATCTATGGGAAAATCGATCCCGTCGAGATTCAGCACCGTCGCGTAATCGGGATACGAGCCGAGTCGTTCCGCGTTGCGCTTGGCGGGGTACAGAGCCGCGACCACCGCGCGCGCGAAACACGTGTCGTTCTCCGACGGCACGTTGACCACCGCCCTTTTAACTCTTATACTCAGCGGTATTTTCATCCAACATCCCACGCGCATGGGATTACACTTGTTCACGTTCACGATTAGGTTCAATATTCGCGACAACGCTCATCCGCTGTCGCGTTCCTGAAATTCTTCCAACCGCGTTAGAATCGCGTCGCGCACGTGCCTATCGTACCACTCGCTCAGATCGGACCATGGGAGAAGCTGTTCGTTCCGCGTAGCGATACTCTTGACGTCGGTCTTAACGTCCGCTACAAATTCACCGTTAAATATAACGTTGACCTTTAGACACCCGTGCTCGGTCATATTATCCCGCACTTTTTCGAGCACGGTGCCCTTCGCGTCGTCGAGAAATCGCGCAGGCTCGATGTACGTCGAGTTCGTCACGGCGCCGGTCAGCACGCGACGTTGGAACGCCGCGTCGATCTCGATCCACGAGAAACCTCTGTCGCTGCTGCTGCCGCCGCTACCACCTTCCCCTCCGTCCAAGCCGGCACCTACGGCGCGTTTGAATCGTCGACGCAGATCCTCCCTCGAACCTTCCAATCGCGCTATCAGAGCCACCAGAGCGCTCACGGCTCCCGTGTTTCCTCGCTTCCCGGAGCGTTTGACTCGACACTGCTCCCGCAGGAGTCGGAGACACTCGTCGCATCGCCGTCTCCACGCGCGGTAACCGTCCGCGTCGCGGACGTCCGCGGCGAGCAACTCGTCGCACTCTTTCCGCATCGCGTCCAGAAAGGTTCACCCTCGGGAACGTTGAATTTCACTCGGTCGAAAAGACGACAAGACCAGTCGGTTTGAACCCGATATATCCTGCTCTGTCCTCCGTACACCGACTCGTGATAGACATATTACTTGAGCGGCAGGCGACGCATATAATCGTTCGCCCTGGCGGAGTTCGCCAACGTCGTCTCTATCCACTTTCGCTCGCGATGGATTCGCGCTCCGATTTCCCTACGCAGATGATGGGTAGCCAGATTTCATCGCGGATCCTCCTTCGCCACCGACGCGCGCGCACTCGACAACGGTGTTTCGACTCTCGCCCATTCGTCGCCCGAATCGGACGAAAACTTAGGCATGGGCTCGCGACAGCGCAATTCGTTGTCCGATTCCTCGGACGACGGATAACGACGATCGTTCATTCGCGAGTACCCCAGCCGAGAATGCTAGCGTCTTTTCAACGTTTATAGATGTCGATAGATATCGAATCAGTCTCTCTTTATAAGATATCAATTGGACGTCTAAATACGTTGGCGTTCCGGCTGAGACGTATCGTCGACGCTACATTCGCACCGCTGACATCTATATATCAAAGTAAAAAGATCTCCATCTTGAATCCTCCCATATTAATGTTTCGGTGCAATCATAAATATCCCACAAACCTATTTTACAATTCCCTCCACACTGTGAACAGAACTCGTGCGTCAATACTTCGTCGTAAACGTTACGGACGCTGCCGCGAACGATACACCAACATGTTTTAACGTATGAGTCCAAAGTCCTCCAAATGTGTTCGGTTCTACCAATATGCAATTTGAAATTCTTGGGCCTCCACCTGCGTTCGTTTTTACTGATATGCGATCTAAAATGCTTGGGACACCACGTGTCAGCGCCAGCGAGTACGTTTCGAAATCCGATTTCTCTGCCGCGAAGCAAACGCACCATCGACGAGCAATAACGTCCGTCCGTTCCCATACCGTATTTTTTTTTACAAAATATATTAACTCTCGACCGCGTTCTAGAATCCTCGTAGAAAAAAAACCGTTTGCCGCGCCGTTCGCGCGCCGTTCAATTTATACTTCCTCGTTCGTCGTCTCGACGGAAGACGTACCCCTGCCGGACGCGATTTTCCCGGAATGATGACAACCGCTCGCCGACATCCTCCGATGAAAAATATAAAAAAAAAAAACAAAAAGGAGGAAACGACGAGAGCGACCGGGACGCCGAATTCGAACGCGCGTTAC